CAGAATTTTAACTGATAACTGACATCCATTGAACATGGCACGTGGAACTAGGACAGTCTACAGTTCAACATTCCAGCCACCTGAAGAAGGCCAGAGAGTACAACGGTCAAAATGTTGTAATGAATATGGTGACAAAGTCCAAATAATGTAAATAGTGTACATAATACCTCATCTCAGAAATATAGACAGATACTGAAGGGCCAAAACATTGTAATATGGCGACAAAGATGAGGACAATAGTCCAAATAATGTAAATAGTGAACTTAGTCTCATTTTTCTGTTTATTCCTGTGTGTTGGGAATTTTATTCTAATTTTCAATGTTTTTGTCGATGAAATGATAGAAAGGACATGACAAAATTGATGACACATTTTATATTTAAATGAAGATCATTCTTCAGGGCTTCTGTAGTAGGTGGTTTATTGGTACATTTCCACCAGAGCATGTGGCCTACTAGTACATTTGGAGCGTGTTTTACCGTCATGCTTCTAATAGAGCCTGCAGTCTACACTCACCCAATATACTGCCTCCTCTACAGACACAGTCCTGATGATCATTAATGCCCAATTGAAAATGTGATCTACCGTAACACCTCTACTAGAGTATACTGTCAAGTGCCCGCTGGTAAATAGAGTTAACTTTTAAGTTTCTGTTATCGCATGGAACAAATAATTTATTAAGAACCTTTCATTTACAATCAGAGGATTGACGAACTGAGAAATATAAAACAGCTCTGTTGTATTACTAACCAAACATGGAGTATAACTAAGACGAAGCCCTCCATCGTAAGAAATAGCTAATAATTAACGTAACTATTTTTGTAGATTACGCAATATCATGTAGAAATGTAAACATTGACAATAGGGCAAGTTCATTTTAGGTTGGAAGAACAGATAGCTCAGTATATTCCTCATCTATGTGCCATGCATGATAAACACTTAGGCGATCATGTATCTTTCGATACATGACTGACGAGGCAGATTTTTTTTCATGCAGTAGACCAGTTGCCATCCAAGGCTATAGACCCCTGTCCGTCCTGCTATTTATTCATAGCTGGGAGGAGAAGAAGGGGATTCATACCTTTCCCAAGGGTATTAGCATGGAAGTGAATGTAATGGATTCGACTGGAATTTGAACTTGGTTCTCCAATTCCTCAATCCCAGCCGCTATCCATTACTCCACCATGCCTCCTCCTGCATAGGTTACATTTTGAGATTGAAAAAGAAATTAAAAAATGTAACATACATAGGTTACATTTTTTAATTTCTTTTTCAATCTCTAAAACTGTGGTCTTGGAGAGGATGCAAACAAGGAGGAGGCTTATACTTAACATCATGAAGAGACAGCTGAAGTTTCTGGGACACGTAATGAGAAAGGAGGGCTTGGAGAATCTGATACTCACAGGTCGAATAGTGGGAAAAAGAGACAAGGGAAACCAAAGCATGATATACCTTGCAGACTTAAGCAAGTGGATGACAGAACGTGGTCTCCAAAGGGACAAATTTTATTGAGAGCTACAAGGGATAGGGGGAGGATGGAGAGCCATGATTGCTTACATCCTGAAAGGACAAGATGCATGAAAAAAAAGAAAGAAGATATTTAACCAGTATGACATGAGAGGATCATAGGTATGCCCTAAAAATCTTTAAAGATCATTAATTAAATTATTTTCAACAGAAGTTTAAAGCCCAATAAGATGAGTTTATAGTTGTGGTTAGTACTTAAAGGTGAATTTCCAAATATTGCAAAAAAAAAAAAAAAGCAATAGAAATACTTCTCAACGTCATATTTGTACGAAGCAAGCTTTTCTGCAATAAACAATATTAAAAACAAAAATCGATTATGGCTAGAATCCTTGGAAGAAGATTTAAGAGTATGCCTGTCCAAAATTCATCCTTGCAAAGATATTCTAAAAGAAAACGTCAAGCTCAGATATTTTAGTAAATGTTAAATTATAATAAACAGACAAGTTTTTTTTAAGAATTATAATAAATTGTTTTGCTTGTGTTGTGGCATATCAACACCTCAATGGGTTATTTAATGCTGACAAGATTTCTATTGCTGGTATTCTTTTCCAAAAATTTATTGCTGGTAATATTTTTTACCAAAAATATATTGCTGGTATTAAGACCTATTTTTATACTTTCATAGTGTTTTGACCCCCTTTTGGAGGGGAGGGAGGTAATTATTTGCCCATAGCTGGGACCCTGACAAGTGCTACCACCCTAGGTCAGGGTAGACCTGGGAACACCAGTAATTAAGAGTTGGTTTCATACTTCTCAAAACCTCCTGATCAAAGGTCTTGCTGTCAAATGTAGCATATAACCTTACCCAGGACGTGGATGTAGTTTGTCATAATACCCAGAAAAGATAAAAAAAAAAAATGCTAAAAAATAGTTTAATCCATAATAATATGGAAAAAAGAAAAAAAAAAAAAGATTATTTTTGGTCGTATCGAGCAACTCCACCAGAAAACCGCAAACCAAAAAAATGCTTATTTATAAAAATTACAAAAGACCAGAATGGGAATGATTAACAAAAATGTTATTTTTAAACATTTGATTTTAAAGCTGGATATGCAAATTAGTTACTAACTATTGGGTAGGATTTAAGATACATGTTGGTAGATGTAAATAGTCAAAACAATTATTTGACATCAGAGTTTTATGTAATAATTACTCTCACGCACACACATATATATGGATAGATGAATAACTCCATATGTATAAATTTCAAGTAGATATACAAACTGTGCTTTATACAGTGCTGTACAATAAAAGTGACTCACCTGATTTTTTTTACTAAAAATATTTTTTGTCTATTGTTTTTGGTGTTAAAATGATTTTTAATCTTATTAATATAAAGACCCCTTCCCGACCACCTAGGAAAAAAGTTTATTCACTCTAAGGTATTCTATTGATAATTATAAATTTGGATATAAATGAGATTCAGGAAAAAACTCTGTGCAAAAAAGTGACTCAGATATCGCATTCTAATGATTAAACTGGTAAATTTAAAGAGATTTTGACAAAATATTGAAAACTATTTTACAATACACTCAGAACAATATTCTAGAGAATTCTAGAACAGCTTAAATTAAATCTAAAGTATTCCAGAATATTCCAGAAAGCCTCATACAGTATAAAAACAGCTTGAAATAGCCACTCAAGTCACTAACCAGATGAAAGGGTACAAACACACATCAGAACCACTTAAGGCATCTATTATTGCCCTCTCAAAAGCAGCCAAGTCTACGAGAGAAATTGCAGAAATTGCTATAACCTCGCAATCAAGTGTCTCTCGAGTGCTGAGGGCACATAATGATGCCACTGCTGCTCCAAGGAAGGAAACAAGGGGGCAAAAGAAAAAGATTGATGATAGAACTGGCAGGGTAATCAAGAGAGAAGTTGTGAAGAATAGGACTATAACTAGCCAAGAAATTGCAGCCAGTCTAAGCGAAGAGCAAGGTGTTAGCCTTGGTTCTTCAACAGTCCGTCAGAACAAGGTTACAAATCTTGTTATAACAAGGCTACAAATCTTGTACACGAAGGTTTAAGCCGCTAATAAGCAAAGCCAACAAAGCCAAGAGACATGAATGGACTCACTATGACAAAAATTTTACCGTAGAAGACTGGAAGAATGTTCTCTTCTCCGATGAAACGAAAGTTGAGCTAAATTTAAAGGATAAGGTGAGTCACTTTTATTGAACAGCACTGTATATTAGATGATAAACTTCTTATGCTCATTTAATGCTGAAATTTAGTTTTATTGAGACCATTATTAATTTTCTTTAGAAAAATGTATTGCTGTTAATTTTAATTTAAAAATTTTTTTTTTATTTACATTATTTGGACTATTGTCCTCATCTTTGTCGCTATATTTATTAGAATGTTTCGGCCATTGTACACTCTGGCCTCCTTTAGGTGGCTGAAATGTCGAACTGAACCCTTTATTTCGCTCACTGGGGTAGACTGTTCTAGTCCCATGTGCCATGTTTAATGGATGTCAGTTATCAGTTATCTCCTGTTAATTTCTCTCTGAAAGTTCTCCACTGCCTCAGCTGGGTATTGAACTCACACTCTTTGGGTCCTGTTACTGGATCTAACCAATGCCTTTATCCACTGTACCATGTGTTCTTCCAACCGATATTTGACATTCTAACCACCTGAAGAAGGCCATAGCGTACAATGGCCAAAACATTGTAATAAATATGGCGACAAAGATGAGGACAATTGTCCGAATAATGTAAATAATGTACAAAATTCCTAATCTCAGAAATATAGACAGATCTTCCTCAGCTCTCAACTCAGTATCTATGCTGATGACACAACAATTTACTCCTGTGTTAATAATAAATCTGATCTGTTTGATAAAGTCAAATTGGCAGCAGATCTCAAAATTGTTGATTGCTTGATTTTGTTTAGCGGCATATCAACCTCTATGGGTTATTTAATGCTGAAATCTAAATATTTTGAACACAATTTTATGGCTTTAACTAAATATATACTATAAATAGGTATTGTTGGTTGGTTGATTTTGTTTAGTGGCATATCAACACTTAATGCCAAAATCTAAATATATGGTACATAATTTCATGCTTTCAAGTACATATTTTTTGTACAAAATTTTATACTCTCAGGGTAAAGGTATCTTAGTGGCTTTATTGCCTTTTTGGGGGTGGAATGATTAAAAAAAAATCTTCTTTGTCAATGTCCTTAATGGAAGAATTTCTGTATAGATCACAGAGATCAAACATATCTACAGAGAAAATTTGGGATCAAAATTCAGCTGTGTCAGGCCACAGACTTATTGATCCACGCTTGTAAGAATGCCTGCCGCCCTCATGAGGCTTGATGTCATGCACACAAATCTGATATTTGTTTTGTTCTCTGAAAGCATTGAGTAAACTGACTGAATCACGAATGCAGCTAGTTTTGCATGAAAGCAAACTTGAAATTTGAAAAATACCAATAAAAAAGGGGAGACAACTGCGATACTGACCTTTTCCAATCATTTTCTTGTCACTGTAGATAGCCACCCAGTATAAGGACATTATTGTTTCTGATGCAGACTGGCAGATAATTCTGAAAAATAAAATTAAATAAAAAAAAAAAGAAGCTTTTTAGAATCTTGTATTATACCATGAATATTCCTTATCTAATTACTTTTTATAACAACAAATTTGTATGATAAGCAAAAAGAAATGCTGTATGGAAAACTTTCTTAAAAATGGCATCCAAATGCTGTGTTTAAGAAACTAGTTTTATTGCCAGGGAAACAGAACAGAAGGCAGTATCAAATTTTTGATTTGGCTTGTTCTGCTTTATGGTATCTTTTCCAATCTTTATCAATCTTTTCCAATGCTGGATTTTGTTGTTTTGATAGGGAGACGTGATACTATGGACACCCACGTGGAAATGGAAGACGTGGTTTTATCTTGATCTCAAGTGTTTCTGTTTGATAGTCAACAGATGGTGGTTCCTTTTGAAGTCTAGTTTTTTAAGTGGCATTCACTATGACACAAAGACAAACAATGGAGTAAAGGGGGATTTTTGGAGATCAAGTGACAACAAAACGGAAAATAGGGTGTATCCAGGTGCTGGTCTATATTAAGAGTCATGCTTGTGATTGAAATTCGTTCTGGTCTGTGTTTGGTGGGAGACAAGCTTGTCCTTCAAGCAGTTTCAATGCCATCCATTCATTTTCTAGCCACATGTCGGAATGTTTGGTTTGTTTTACAGCATATCAACCTCAATGGGTTATTTAATGCCGACAAAATTTTTATTGCTGGTAATATTTTGTTTTGTCAAAAAATCTATTTTTCAAAAATGGCTAAAAATATTTCCTTCTAAAAATGTATTGCTGGTAAATATTTTTTTTTTCAAAAATGTATTGCTGGTAATATTTTTTTTTTCAAAAATGGATTGCTGGTAATATTTTTTTTTCAAAAATGTATTGCTGGTAATATTTATTTTTTAAAAACATTGTTGGTAATATTTTTTTTCAAAAATGTATTACTGGTAATAGGGTGTTTTCCTTCAAGATTTTATTGTTAGTAATAATTTTTCAAAGTATTTCTGGTATTAAAACATCTTTTTACACTTTCATAGTATTTTTACTTAACTATTTGCCCATAGCTGGGACCCTAACTGGTGCTACCACCCCAGGTCAGGGTGGACCTGGGAACATCAGTAATTAAGAGGTGGTTCCATGCTCATCAGAACATCCTGCTGGGCATAGTTTATCATCTTACCCAGGATGCGGATGTAATTTATCGTCATACCCAGGACGGACACGTTGGTATGAGGAGATGGTAGGAGGGAAGAGCTGAGCTTTTCGACCATCATAGCAGAAGTTGTCTCAAGTATCACCTACCTAGATAAACAAGTGAAGCACTGAATAAAAATACCTATTTAATAATACGAGAAACAGGGTTTGCATTCTTATTTCTTAATGTGGCATTTGTCTTTCATTTTGTTTGCTTGTTTCCAGTTTGGTTTGTTATCTACATTTATGCACAAATATCCTTGGGAAGATATGAATTCACATTTTTCCCCCAGCTATGGGTTAATTAGTAAGACTTGTATCAGTAAACCATTATTATCTCAGAAAAAAAAAAAAATAAAGAATTGTCCATTCTAAAATTTTGGGCTTTAAATAACCTGTAAAAGGAGGTTGATAAGTCATAAAAAACACTCTACATATAGAAAAAAGAGTGTGTTCTTATTTAATGATGTGGCATTTATCTTTCATCTTGTTACCTTGGTGAGTGTGCAGCAGGTCCTTTCCCAGCTTCTGGAGAACACCAATGAGATTGGAAATCAAAATGAAATGCAGGGTATCATTGGTAGGCTCACAGAAAGCTTGGTTGAGGACTGCATTTTATGTTTACAGAAATAGGTTTGGCATGTTTGAGAGAAAGAAATGCATAAACACATCTTCGGCTTGCATACGAGTCATAAAGGAGAATATATGATGCATTTGGCAGAGGAGGGGTGTATACAAAAAAAATAAAAAACAAAAAAACGAAAATTGCTTTTTTTCACAGCAAATTAGTCATTATATCATGTCTAAGTATTTCATAAAAAATTAGAGCCGTTTACACAATATAGGTTTATAGTTCATAACCATGCAATGAAGTAACATAAACAGTAGATTTGACTGCGGAATATCATTACATTATTGTTATATAATTATAGTGAAATCATTAAGGCTTTTTGTCAAAAGCATTTTATTTTTGGTTGTATATTAATTTAAAATAATCCTTTTTACAGGCTTTATTTTTGAAATGGAATAAAATCATTCTAATTTCAGAATTTTGCTATTGCCCATCAAAATGACTGGAAGAAAGCAATCTAAAAACAACAATGGAAAAGAGAGATAACAAAGCATAGACGACATATCTTCCTTATATATGGTAAATAATATTGGCATTACTTGCTTCCAGGTGTTGGGGAGCATTCTTGGATAGGTTTAAATTTTGGTAGAATTACTGTCTCAATTTTCAAACAAGGAACCAAAAACAGAAAGAATGAAAAATTTGGTATCTGACCCAAGAAGTCAGGTACAATAGTATTGTCAAGGAATGTATCAAAGGTCAGAGATCAGGTTTAGTTTGATAACTTGCATGCAGGCAGCCACTAAAATAGAAATTAAGACTTTGTTAAATAATTGGTTTGTTTTTACAGCATATCAATCTTTACAAGGCTGTTTAATATCAAATTCTGTCATTTTGATGTACGATATAAAAGTTTAAAAAACAGAAACAGGTTTCCTGTTTGGATGAGAATATATAAAAAAGTAGATGCTGTTGACATTTGCATAAAAGTACCCCCACCTCCCAAAAAACAGGTCAACATAGGTCATGTTTGCACAAATGTCAAAAAAAAAAGAAAAGGTGAGCATAGGATACGTTTGAGTGAGCGTACAAAAAAAAAGAAAAAGCAGAAATAAGCCTGGCAAATAGATAGACTCTTTTGAGGGGGTGTACCCCTCTGTACCGGAATGCAATCATCTTATTCTTGACCCTATACAACAAAATATTTTTCAAATAAACAATGTTTGCAAGAACCATATGACTTCCATCAAAAGTTAATGCATGAAAGTCATGATAACTTCTGCTAAATAAAAGTAAATAAATTGATAATAAAAATAAAAAATAATAATAATATAAAAATAATAAAATTTAAATAATAAATAAAATAATAATTAAAACATTTTAAATGTAAATAATAAAATGTAAAAAATAGTAAAATAAAAATATAAATAATTAATAAAATAAAATTATAAATAAACTTCTGCTAAATAAACGTAAATAAATTAATAATAAAAATAAAAGTAATAAATAAAAAATAATAAAATTCAAATAACAAATAATAAAATAATAATTTAAAAATTTTAAATGTAAATAATAAAATTTTAAAAAATAGTAAAATAAAAATATAAATAAAATAAAATTATAAATAAACTTCTGCTAAATAAAAGGCTTGTTGAAACTTTAGCAGTATGGCCTCAATGTTGGTGATCTTCGCCTTTTCAAGGACTACAATATTGGTGATGAAGTCACTCCAGTGGTTGTTAAGGATTGTGCAGAGGCAGTGCTGGTGGGACCGTTCAAGGAGTCACAGGTGGTGTCCTAGCACTAATGGTAGTATGCGATTGTTGTATTGTTGAGGTGAATGATACACAGAGAAGAATGAGTGTTTAATATATTTATCCAGCACCAGTGCTAACAGATACATACAAAAAACACAGAAAAATAAGTTACAAAACAATTAACAAGACAACTTACAAGGAATAGAGGAGGGTCAAATGCTGTATAGCCAAACGAAGTAAGATCAGTCCGAATGTTAATCAGCTTAGTATCAACTTATTAATCAACTGTTGAAGTACTTAATCAGAGACTATTTAAGGCTATGAGCCAGGCCATCTTGTAGAGTGCTGAACGAGTGCTAGCTACTCTACAACAGTAACCCAGTACTACCTGTTTCATAATCGGATTATTGGATTATTTTCTCTGTCAAATGTCGACTATATTCCTTATTGCCATCATTTCAGAAATTCAAAGCTGAGACTTACCATGCCAATCATATTCATTATCTTTGTATTCCATTGGTAAGAAGGAAGTTCCATTCAGACAGTTTCTTCTTGAGAATGACTACTTTACAAGACAGACTCCCGAGAGGATGCTTCCCAGATAACTACAATCTTAAAATGTAGGGTTAACTATTATCTTACATATCCTTGTAATCTGCATTTCTTATCCTCTCCACAACAACTTAGTTCTGTAACCCTCTACCTTGAGTGGTTCTTGGACCTTAAATTAGGTGAACAATAGTAAAAAAAAAATCTCATGAAATAAGAAACTAGCTGTCACTTACCTTGGCTCTGGTTCTGCAAGTCCTCGAGCCTGGAGAATGGACACCAACAAACCCATTGGGTTTTCAATATTCCAGATTTCGTTTATGTCTTTTCCCACAAGATGGGGAATAATGAAATGGTTAACAAATCTCTCTGCTCGGACTATTCCCTGAAAAGACAAAAAAACAAAAAATGACTTTAAATGGAAACATATTAACAGCTATAAACAAAACCCGATATGTTGTTTGCGCTGTGATAAATTAGAATATTTTATATTATTTGGTCTATTTATATACAAGCATAACTAATGTAACTTTGTGGCCTCACGTTTTCCACTGACATGAAGTGGAGTGACTATATTTAATCAATTGCTGCATCTACTGCTAGGAGTTGGTTCACTGTATCAAATCAGAATCCATCTTGTATATTTATAAATCTAACATTTGTCCATGCATGTCTTCTGATAAATCCAATATAGTAGACCTAGCAACTACTCTCGGAAAGGATCTCCAATCCAATCAGTGCTTAACTGAGGCAAGAAATGGCTTGTAAATTTTAATGCCTGCAAGACAAAACTTTGTACCTTCTTGGGTTCCTGTTCTCCACTGACATGAAGTGGAGTGACTATATTTAATCAATTGCTGCATCTACTGCTAGGAAAGTTGGTTCACTGTATCAAATCAGAATCCATCTTGTATATTTATAAACCTACCATTAGTCTGTGCATTGAATACTGTTGCCATTTCTGGTCTAGTTCTCTTGTTATATATCTTGAAATTATTGACAAAATTCAAAGAATGGTCAGCAATGTAATCAGTCCTGACCTGGCATCTTTCCTTTCAGTCACTTTCTCACCAACGTGACATGGCTTCCTTCTATCTTTTCTACAAATATTTTCATGGTAACTGCATAAGTTCCTTAGTGAGTCAACTGCATAAATTTAATTGTGTTACTAGATTAGCAACTAGGTCTTACTGTTTTAATGTTCAGCTAACAAGATGCAGCCGCCACTTCTACCCTAATAGTTTTTTTTCTCACACTTCTCACGATTCTTCCTTCCCTACCCTTTGCAATCTTCAAAAATTTAAATGCAACATCAATCGCCACCTTCTGTCATCCTGAACCTAGTTCTTTTATTGTCCTTTCTTCATTTTTCCTTACTAAAGTTTTCTTATTCTCTGTCACTCCTTGAAACCCCCTGCATCTTAGTGGCATTATTGCCTTGTTTGAAGGTGAAAAGATAAAAAAATTTCCATTTATGAATTGAAATTATATGCAGGTTATTTGTTGGTCTGGAAGCAATCAAAAATATCAATGGAGTAACATAGTGATGAATAACTGAGTGGCAAAGAGATTGAAGGAATTTTAATGATTTCTTGAGAAGGCTTCGTTATGACTCAACAATCCACAAAAGGCTATTGCTGATGCTAAATCTCATGCCATGAAGGCATTGAGCCCACAAGAGCCACCTTATCCCTCCAGCTCACATGGTCTTGGCAGAGTGTCGGAATATCCTCCAGCATCAGATAAATCACAGTGACTACCCCACCATTATATATATAATTTTAAAAGTATATATATATATATATATATATATATATATATATTATGAAATGGACAAAGAGCAAATGAGCCACAGTAAAAACAGTAAAAATCGATCTTGCAAACCAAAATGCTCGTCTGTGGCTAAATTGGTAAAGCACGTCAGGCTATATGACGGTTCCATATAGGATACAGGTTCGATTCCTGTCGGAGGACAAATATTTTCTATGAAAATTTCTTGGACATTCAGGCCGGTAAATGTTGTTAATACTGTTTATTATAAACAGAGCATTTACTTAAATATTTGTATCTATAAAAAGAATGTCTAAACATTATATATATATATATATATATATATATATATATAAACAGGCAGAAAAGATGGAAAATAGAGCAACATACCCTCAAACAAATTTCTGTCAATGAAAATAACTGAAATCTACAAGACAACAGCAAAGATGTGTCTCCTAGTAGCAGTGATGCTGTGGCATTAAAAGAATGCACCCTGGGTTGGTTCACAGGTTTCACATTGCCAACAATGATAAAACAGCCCTAATACATCGCTGGATATGTTTATTATTCAGCCAAGATAAAAATCGCTTAAATACATATGCCATAGTTTAAGTTACTCAAAACCGAAAAGATCCTTCAACTTTGAGTAGTGTCCTGACATTAAAACCACTTTTACTTCAATACAACCTATACAAGGTTATACAGAACACCCAAAAGTATTGCACCCATAAAAGTGTCACCTGGGGCAGAGCTGCCAGTAATCACGTGAACCAAACTTGTTAGATGCTATGTGGTGCCTCATTCTATCAGCAAATAAAGACATAGCCTCTTTGAGAACATGTTTACAATTATTTCGAGCAGTCACAAATAGACGTTTGTGGTGATCGTAATTATCATGCTGGTCCACCTGAAATAAGTTATTCCTATGGGCTATATCAGCTGAACAGGCTGGTATGAACCGAGGAAAATATTTGTGAGAAGGTATAAGAACATCAATGCCAGCTTTAATCCAAGAAGAAACTTCTGTAGCGCAATTCTCAATAGGAAGGTTAAGAATATCAATCCAAGGGGTGTCTTGAATAAAGTCACTAAACAAATCTCAATCAGTACGATGGTAACAGAAGAAGTCTTATCAATAGGAGGTTCCTTTCTAATAGACGACTCAAAAGAAATATCAACAGATACTACAGCATGATCCAAATTGTCAAGAGGATAGAGTTATGATGTTCTACAAGAGCTAGGAGAGAAGATGGTTGAACAGATTTATTAGGGAAATGAGTAGGGATATCCACTTTTTGACTGAAAGACTGAATACCAGTAACATTAGAATGCTTAAGCCACTTTATATGATGAGCATTAAAATCACCAAACACAAAGATATTCACTAATGAATGTAGAGAAAGAGTCATTTGTATATTATCAGAAGTTTTATTTAAGATATTAGTCCTGAGAAGAAGGAGGGCGATAAAGGAAAAAGACATAGCTAACACAGTACAATAATAAAAGCCAAAAGCACATGAAAGAATTGTCTGGGGATTCAAGAGACAATTCCTTTGCAACTGGAAGATTTTCCTGAATATAAACAGAGGCCATACATATGTATGCTACAACCTTTACAGCAAAGAGAAAATAGCATGGAACAGAGAATTCTTTGATAGCAATAGAAGAATTTAAATTAGTTTCTCAAAGCGCAACTGGTAACTGTTTCAAGAGAAAAGATTCGACAATATAGAATTTGGAATAAATGTTACAAATATTAAAGAAAGTAAGGATCACCCTGCAGCTGGCAGAACCAAAGACTGCAGTTCAGTGAAAGAATTTAAATAAAAGATTCTATGAAGACAAAATGGATTTTACAAAATGACACAATTGTTCTTTAAAAAGGAAATTTATAGATTAAAGCAAAAATTTATGGAAAATGCACTAATTTCTGCGTTTTTTTTTTTGCAGTAAGGTTCACCCTGTACAAAGCCTGGGAGCCACTCAAGGTAGAGGGTTATGTTAAGAGGTAGTTTATACGTATAGGAGGGAAAGATAACTCAAGATTTACTAGGGAAACGAGTAGGGATATTCACTTTTTGACTGAAAGACTAACTTACTACCAGTAACATTAGAATGCTTAAGCCACTTTATATGATGAGCATTAAAATCACCAAACACAAAGATATTTGCTAATGGATGTAAACAAAGAGTCATTTGTATATTGTCACTGGATCTAACTAAAGCCTTTATCCACTGTGCCATGTGTCCAGGACACTAGTTAGTTAGGCATTAGTTAGATCCAGTGACAGGACCCAAAGAGTGTGAGTTCAATACCCGGTTAAGGCAGTGGAGAACTTTCAGAGGGAAATTAACAGGAGATAACTGATAATTGACATCCATTAAACATGGCATGTGGAACTAGAACAGTCTACCCCAGTGAGCAAAATAAAGTCTTCAGCTCGACATTCCAACCACCTGAAGAAGGTTGGAGTGTACAATGGCTGAAACGTTGTAATAAATATGGCAACAAAGATGAGGACAATAGTCTGAATAATGTAAATAGTGTATATAATACCTCATCTCAGAAATATAGACAGATACTGAAGGGCCGAAACATTGTAATAAATATGGCGACAAAAATGAGGACAATAGTCCGAATAATGTAAATAGTGTACATAATACCTCATCTCAGAAATATAGATAGATACTGAAAGGGCGAAACATTGTAATAAATATGACGACAAAGATGAGGAAAATAGTGCGAATAATGTAAATAATGTACATAATACCTCATCTCAGAAATATAGACAGATACAATTGTTCTTTAAAAAGAAAATTTATTTATTAAAGCAAAACTTTATGGAAAGTGCACTAATTTCTGAGTTTTTTTTTTTTATGGTAAGGTCCAACCTGTACAAAGCCTGAGAGCCACTTGAGGTAGAGGGTTATATTAAAGGATAGTTTTTATGGATAGGAGGGGAAGATAACTCTAGACTTGAACAGGTAAAGATTGTAATGATCGGGGAAACATCCTCTTGGGAGTCTGTCCCACAGGACAGTGGTTCATGGGTAGAAGATATTCAAGTTGAACTTCTTACCAATGGAATACGGAGCAAATGTGGGTGGTTTGCTACAATGTAAGTGTCATAGTGGGTCCTAGCCATGAAGGTTAGACATGTCGGAAGTAAGGAATTTAGTTTGAACACAAAATGGATTTTAAAAAAACAGTACCATCTGTTAGTTGTTCCTTGTAATAATTCTGACTATAATTTTGATTTCAAAAAGAAAGTTTCAATTAAAAGTCAAATTTATTTATCAAAGCAAAAATTTATAGAAAATGCAATAATTTCCAAGTCTTCCATGGTAAATTTATGGTAGTAAAAGAACACAGATAGAAAACAGTAACAGCACTTTTCTAAATTTTTATCTTTTTTTTTTTTTGTAAAATTAATAGACTGACTTGGGTAAGGTGTGAAGTGGGGCCCATACAGAGATCCTATTTACCCACGCACAAAGCCATTACTATGACCAAACACCCCCTCTCCCACATTGCTGGCCAAAGGCATCCATCAAGAATTTAGGTAATACAATCTGGAATACACAGAAAAATATTTGCATGGTTTTTGATTAGAA